ACAATCCCCAAAGTTCTGCCCCGAAAGACAGATGAAGGAGGGTGTGGAAGTTTGTCTGTGGAGGGTCTGCCTACCCTGTAGCTCACTGGAGCAGCTTGATCTAAGTTTGTTTTCAACCTGAAGACTTAGCTTCTGCTCTTTCCCTTGCCATTGTGCTCTCTTACTGAGTCTTTGTTTTTCACCTTCTCTTTGAAGTTAAAAATCCTTCCTGTGTTCTTTTGAGCCCTTTTTGCTTTTTCATTTGCAATGAATTGCTAGGCACTAATTTATACTTGTTAAAAATTAATTTTTAAATTATCAGGAGAGAATGAATGAATGGACTTATCCATTTTGGGGCAGATTACAGACATTTCTAAAATTTTTTACAACAATCGTGCGCTGTAGATACTACTTTTCCTATTATAATAAGGAGGAAACTAAGGATATGAGAGGTTTTTCCAGTGGTTCTCAACTGTGGCTTCATAGTAGAACCACCTATAGGCATTTAGATTCCTGGGTCCACGCTCAGAGATGCTAATTTATTTGGTGTAGCATCTAGTCTAAGCACTAATAGTTTTCTTTGTTTTTTTTCCCTGCTTTTTATGTGATATTATGTGGTATTCAAGTAGGATTGAAAGCCACGGAATTAAGTAAATTGCTCGAGATCATAGAGAAGAAATTTGAGCTTTTTGAGGACAGAGAATGTGTCTAACTCATTTTTGGACAGCAGAAGAGGATGAATGAGTGAACTCGTCAGATTTCTAATTTGCAGTAGCCTGGATCTAAAGCTTATGATATTTTTTCAAAGTCATGATATTGCTGCTTTTGAATTTGTGTCTCTTAAACATCATGCCCAGTTTAGATTCTTAAGGAGAAATTGAAAGCTAAATTTCAAAACCTCATGTTTCCACAGAGAAGAAATTTTCTCTCAAATTCATCCTTGCAGGTACTGGTCAAATCCTACAATTTCCCCATGAATTTCAGTCAAGTTTATGTAATGAAGGTTAGTAATATGGACTGATATTTTTTAAATGAAGAGTTCATTTCATGCAGTAATTTAATGATAATGTACACTTTGGGCAATGTTTAGATCAGTGAGCTTTATTTCTTTGCTTAACTGAAAGATCTCACAATAGTTAGATAAATGATTTCTTGTATACTCTTATCTATTGGGTGCCTGTTATGTACTAGGCATAATACTGCAGATATAGCACTGAAAAAAGACAGCCAAGATTTCTGCTTTCATGGAACTTTATTTCAGAATCTGATGCATTCAGACCTGGAAACAAAGTTTAGAAGATTTTTCATGAGAGGGAAAAGTCAGACAACTCATTATTATCAGAATAGAATAATTTTTGCAACAACCCTCTTGAAATAGGTTGATCTTTGAATGAGGGAGTTTTTGAAACACTTGTTTATTCATTTACCAAACTCACTTTCTGTCCAACTCTCTTCTTTGTGGGGCAGAGGCAGAGGGTACAAGATGGAAACCGACATAAATTCTTACAGATCCCCATAATAGAGAGAAATATCACTCTGCTTTAAGACAGAAAGTGGTGAGTGCTGTGGAAGAGACACCGATAAAGAATGCTGTATGTTCATAGGTGACAGAGATTACTCGCAGCTCGAGGATGATGATGGGGAGGAGAGTGAAGGAAAATGTAGAGATCGTGGAAAAATCGTAGGATTTGACCAGTACCTGCAAGGATGAATTTGATGTTCTGCATAAGCTTTTATTCATTATCCAATGCAGTGTTCATGCTTATCTCTTCAGCTAAATAAATTACATATATGGGCAGTTTTTTCTATTGTTTAGATGTTACTTATATGACTTACAGTAATTAAATGATAGGCTCAATTTAAGCAGACCTCTTTTTTCTTCATCCTAAATCACCTACTTCCTGTTTCTTTTTACACACACACACACACACACACACACACACACACACACACACACACACTCATGCACCCAACCACTTATGCATACACTCACTCTCTCTTGTCCCTCTTTTTTTTCTTCTTATTTACACTTAAACAGTCAAAGGGGCATTTCATTTGAAAAACAGATGCTCACAAGGGGGCACCATCTTAACATTATCTCATAGCATTCAGTAAAACTTTTATTCCCCTGAATTAGGTAAGGGAATTCTTGAAATGTGGAAATTATGGAAAGCCAGAATATTTCTTTCATAGATATATTTTCTGAAGACTTGACCCAGGCTGGTCACTGAGTTTGTTATTTGAAAGAAAAAAAATCCTTGAACAATTATTATAATACTATAAGAAAGGGATTGGCAGTAGTGGGAAACTGCCGGGGGAGAGGTAGTGGGATTGGCAGTTGAGGGAAACTCCCAGGGGAGAGAGGGGCACACCTTATCAACAAGTGTACCTACATAATGAACTTTTGTATACCTAACCCTGAATTGTACCCCACATCTTTAAAATACAAAAATCAAAATAAATAGTTGATATAATCAGAGCTACCTTCATGGCCCCAGTAAAGTTATTCTGCCTTAACTAACCCAGAAAAATTAGCCTGCACTTAATGTGTGCAATAGACTTTTTATGAGGCTAAAGAGGTTATTTTGCATCCTCATGCATGTCATAGTTAATGTATATATAGAAAGCATTTAGTACTGTTGTTATGATTTCCAATAATTTTATGTACATTTGAAGTGTTCATTTAAAAAACCACAGTTGAAGTGTTTTAAAACATTTTTTGACTGCTTAACATTCATAGAAGGAATGCCCAAGCATGCATGTTGTATTTTTAAGCTGCACAGGAATTTAAAAATGAAAAGTCGATGCCAGGAAATTAAAACCCAGACACCATTGCGTTATCCTGATATGTCACATTAGAGAATGTGTTGATAATTGAGTTGTGTGCTGCTATACAAAAGCTCACGGTTCTTTCAACTTCCTGATATTTTCATATTCAGAATTAAATCTGCCAATAAAAACATATTGAAAATATTATACACCTTGTATTAGATAAGATTACCCCTAGAAAAAAAGGCAAAGGAAAATAAAACCTCCAAAGCATTCGATTTGTTTAAACGGTGTTGAGGCGCCCCTTGCTGGCATATGAGTGTATTACCTAAAGCTGTCCACATTCCTTGACTTTTTTGGTAAAATTGGTTGACTTTTTTCTTTGTGGGTATGGATTATTTCTAGATTTTACATTGTTATATATTTCTTTTTCATTTAGCTGTGTTTAAATGGTTTTCTTGTGTTTTCCCTCAAGATGGTGTAACGGCAAGTTTAATGCATTCTCCAATTTTTTTTCCATGCTTCTTGATTGGTCAGTCTTTTCTTCATTTCTCTTTGCTCTGTAGAATTTTCATCTCTCTCTGCTTGGTCATGCTGTCTTTCTTTTACTGGCTTTGGCTTTATTTTTTAAATAGCTAGTCTCACCTCCTGTAAGGCTTGGGTTTTGTGGGACTCAATGACAGCCCTCCTGCAACATGCTTTTGGTTCTTTTTGTATGTGACTTCCCTCAGTGGCTTCTGCAGAAGCCCCAGGCCACAAGATGACTTCTCTTTGAGGTTCTGGAAGGCAAAAGGTCTTACGTATATTAGACCATCCATTTTCTTCCTGCAAGTCAAGGATTTCAGATGTATCCACTTCCTTATCTTCTACAGAGCACCAGAATACTGATTCAAATATATGTTATAGCTAATTTAAAAAGAAAATGCTGAGGTGCGAGAACAAGAATACATGTTCCAAGGTATAAATTTGAAATTAAAATTATGTAGTTAGGTGTGCATAAGACTTTTGATTATACAGAGAGAACTCAAGTCTTCTTATCCCGAGTATTATATTTGTAAGTTATATTTAATTTTAAAAATCTAAAACATTGAAATAGCTTCAACAGATGTTTGTAGGAAATGCTTGTCAGGACAGAATAAAAGTTACACATGCTTCTTATTGAACATTGTTTAAATTATAGTGATTGAAACCACTGCCATTGCAGTATGCCAGTGCAGCCTTCTCTACGTTATTGATTTCTGAGATTGGAGTTGTTTATCCAAAATTTCCTGGATGACTCTCCCTTCTCACCCCAGTCTGAAAGTCTATGAGACAGAGGAATCGAAGCTCTTTATTAATAGCTCTTTACTACTGTGTGTCTCTTATGTGCATGGAAAGTTGATAGTCTTGGATAAAAGTCTCTAAGAAGAAATTAATGTAAGTTTAAATCTGGGTATTGTACCATAAAAATATTAAACTTCTTGCTATAATCATTCTTCCATTTGTAGAATATTTCTTATCTTCTTGATTAGTCTCTAAAGATGTTGTCCTTCAGAGGTTAAAAGCATGCATTTCCTCAACTCTTTTCAATGGGAGCACCACTGTTAGTTGCTATTCTTTAGGTCAAGGATCTCTTCAGCTGCTTCTAAACTTGCAAAATTTCCTCAAAGTAGTCCAGGCTCATCTCCATAGAGCAAACTTTTTGGATACCCTGTCAGTAAACAGGTAGAAGGCAGAATTTTTTTTTTACTGCACACTCAAATATATAATCCACATATCACCAGTTAGTTCTTAACCCAGGCCTATGAAAAATTGTATGCCAACAAAAAAATTAAGTAAGCTTATTTTTAGTCTGCAAAACAGTTTTAGAGTTGTATTTGAAATAAACTATCTGAGTTTAATGAAAGGATTGTGAGTGTAAATTAAAACTTAGAATAAAAACAGTGGAAAGATGAGAGCCAGAGATCCATCAGAGAAGTGCCCTGGAACGAGTCCAACAATGACCCAGACCCTTCTCTGGATTCAGTTGATTATCACCAAAAATTACAGCTTGTTGGCAGCGACCATGGCTGTCCCCACATTCCAGTATAATTTAAAATTAGAATATTTGAATCAAGCTTCTCCTGTGAAGTTGGAATTTTTTTTTTTCTTTGAATGGCAAATGAATTATTTGGGATCAGTAAAAACTGTGTTTAATTTTAATATGAATAGCCCTATGTGCCAACCTGTACCAGGCACTACATAAAGGATTTTTTTCCCTCTTTCTATTGTAGTATTTCTAAGACCTCAGAGAAATCTGGAATCTATAGACCCACAGTTTACAATCCGGAGGAAAATGGAGCAGTTGAGAGAAGAGAAAGAACTGGTGGAACAACTCCGTGAGGTACCCAAGAACTATTATGTAACAAAAGAATAATTTTCAGAATTGAAACAGCATGATATATATAAATAGACTTCGAAGCGTTGCAAACAATCCTAGTTTCAAATCTACCTAGGTCACTGACGGAATGTTTGCTATTGAGCAAGTCACTTAACATTCTGGACTTTCTGTTTCTTTATGTACTAAAAAAAAAAAAAAATAGTTCCAATCTACCTTAGTAGGTTCTGATAAGGAATACATGAAGTAATAGAAATACTTAATACAAAATGCTGACACTATTTCAATTCAGGTACACTTTTTAAAAAATGCCTGTCATTTATTTACTCAATGATAATAATCCCATTAATTTACAGATGTTTATAGTTATCCTCATTCTGTACCCTTAACTGGTCAGAGCTTTTAAATCAGTCATTTAATAGGCAAACCATTTGAGTTCTTACCAAGGATGAAGTCTTATGCCAGGTGCCATCAAGAATTTTAAGCTTGGGGATCGCAGGGACTAGTGACTGTCTTTTCCTTATCTTATTTCTTAGTTCCCGATGGGCAGGTATTTTTCTACCCACATGACCTTTGTGTCTGGTTATGAAGATTCTACATAAATATATAGAATGTTAACTAGCAGTACAGGTGTCAGTCACCAAAGAAGATGACATTGGTATTGGCTATTAGCACATAATAAATTGCTGCACAACTACTTCATGTTCTAAGAGAAGTATCAGAGCTATGAAGTATCAGAGCTATGAACCAAAAGAGGATAAAAATGCTTCTTGTAGGACAAAGTTTTTATATCAAATTTTCTACTTTCACTAGCAAATGTGTATTGAATTCCATGCTATACTATGTGGTATTCTAGATGATGGATGTAGGAGAGAAAAAAAAAGTCCTTACTGTTATGAATCTTATGCTCTGTTGAGAAGAGATAGTAAATAAGAAGGAAATAAATAAATATACAATTTCAGATAGACATGAGTTTTACAAATGGACAATGAATCCTACAAATAAGATTTAAAGTGAATCAAGATAGTAAGCATCTTTGTTGTAGCTGATGATACTTTATACAATTTTGCAGGTAGTCAGGAGGAAAAATTGTTTTCAGAATCTCTTACCACCACTTTAAGCCATTATGGTTAGTTGAGCAAGCACCAGGGAAAAGCAGACCTCTGTCCTTTGCCAGAGCATTTGGACATGCTGTAAATTTGGAAGCTGAGCTTTTTGAGCTCTGTGCAAATGAGGTCAGAAGCTCAGATATTTCTCTCAAACAGTGATATCTTATCATTTAAAGTTAAACACGGGTTATATTCATCACTTATGTTTTAATTTAGTGATATAAAACTAGAGACTAAAGAGTACTTTAAAAAAATTATATCTAAACACAAGGAAGTTCTGAAAGATCTATATAGCATTATTGTATTCACTGTTTTTCAAGTGTCTATTTATTACAGATCACCAGATTAAGTCATCCTTTCATAGGCTATTATGCAGTTAAAAGGATCTTTTTTTTTTTTTTTTTTTTTTTGCAAAGCAGAAACTTCTATGTGAGGTTTTAAAACGAATTCTTCCACTTCTGCTTCCAAGTTGATGGAGCGGACTTACTTTTGCCTATTCCTCCCACTAAGTACACCTGAAACCCTTAGACATTATCTACAAAACAAACAGAAAAGCAGTCTGAAAGGTAAAGAGAAGAAAGGAGACTGGCTAGGGTTCTTGGGGTGTGAGGAACACCATGGTGGTGAGCTCCGTGAGTTTTCTTTTTTGCCTTATGTATCTCAGACTTGGAGCTGGGAACTTGGAAACACTAACGGGCACAGACCCTAGAAAAAAAATAAAAAGCCTTTCTCTAGCCAAACAACCAGGAAGAAGGCAAGATAGAAAACCTTTAGACAATAAATACTCTAGCTAAACACCACGAACACCAAGAAAATACTGTGATTCCCCCCCTCACCCATGCCAGCAAAGGCTGAGTCAGGAGGCTAGTCTTCTGCCCTGCTGGGGTGGAAGGCCAAGTCAAGAACCAGAAATTCCATCTCTACTGGCCAGTAAGGAGTCCTATCTGCTCCCAGAGTTTCAGTGGAGACCACATGGGGAGCCTGTATTTCCAGCCCCACCCAGGAGTAAGGAGGCACCTATTCCCACCCCCTAAACCCTGGCCAACTGAGACCCGGTAGGAAACTTAGACTTCCACATTCATCTGGCAATAACAAGATGGTAGCCCCCTTTCCCTGCTGGAGCAGTGTATAAAAATAATAATAATAACAATAATAATAATAGACAGTTAAGACAGAAGTTTAAATAGGATCCAGAGTCTTATAACACACTAAGAGAATATCCAGTATTTCTATTTTTAATAGAAAAATCCCTCATTATACCAAGGACCAGGAAGATCTCAAACTGAATGAAAAAAAGACAATCTACAGATGACAGCACTGATACGGCAGAGATGTTAGAATTACCTGACAGATGTTTTTAAACAGTCATGATAAAAACGCTTCAGCAAGCAAATTACAAATGTGGTTGGAAGAAAGGAAAAGCACACCTCAGCAAAAAACTAGAAAAATCTCAGCAAAGAATTAGAAGATATAAAGAAGAACCAAATGGAAATTTAGGACTGAAAAATACATTAGAAAAAAGCCCCCAGTGTATGGACTCCACAACAGAATGTAGGTGACAAAGAAAAGAACTGGAATGAAACTGGAAGAAAGAACAACAGAGAGAAAACAGATTAACAATAAATAAACAGAGCCTCTGGGACCCTTAGGGGTTTAGCAAATGCGCTAATATCTGGGAGACCCAGAAGGAAAGGGGAATGAGAGCAAGACTGAAGAGGAACTCTGTGGTGGGAGGGGAGTGGTATGGCTAAAAGGGCAACAGGATAGATCCTTGTGATGATAGGAATGTTGTGTATTTGACTCTATCAAGGTCAATAGCCTGGTTGTTACAGGTTGTAACCATTCAGGGAAAGGGCACAGGGTACATGTAGTCTGTCTATTATTTTTTACAACTGCATACGAATCTAAAATTATCTCAAAATCAAAGTTTAATTTTTTAAAAAAGGACAGAAATTTATATTTTCATAGTCAAGGCTGAGAAAACCTTGAACTCAAGAAGTGATTCCATTATTCCTTTCATTCTAACTAAAAATTTCAGACACAGCTGAATTTGTTTTTATACAGAGGGATTTTTGATACTGCTTGAAAAGTTTTCAATGTCAGTGTTGTTCTTATTCTTACCTTCCATAATGAAATGAAGGCCTCTGTTCGTAAATACCTATAATTATATTTTACTCAGCAGCCTCAGTGTCGATAGCAATTGGCTTCCTTCTAATTTTCCCAACAGAGCATCGAGATGAGACTGAAGGTCAGTCTGCATGAAGACCTGGGAGCAGCTCTCATGGATGGTGTTGTCCTCTGCCATCTGGTCAACCATATCCGCCCACGGTCCGTTGCAAGCATCCATGTTCCCTCACCAGCGGTTGTAAGTAGATTTGACATAAAACAGACTCGTTTGGGGGCATTGTTGTTGGTTTAGGATGCCAGTGGCATCACTAGGACCTTGCTCACATGTTTTCTGTTGGGTCCCAAACAACTTGAAGAGCAGAAAAGGAATGAAAGAATGAGTCTAAATAAAGCAATATCTTCATGGTAAAAAGGGAGATTATTTAAAATAAATATGTAAATGATAGAAACAATTTTGTTTCAAATAACAAGCAAATCACTTTAAAGAAATTACTGATTGAGATGCTAACTTAAAGACTGTAGGGCTGGGCTCGGTGGCTTAGCCTGTAATCCCGCGCCTTTGGGAGGCTGAGGTGAGTGGATTGCCTGAGCCCGCGGGTTCGAGACCCGCCTGGGCAACTTGGCGAGACCTCATCTCTGCAATAAATCAAAAAATCAGCCAGGCGTGGCAGCGCACGCCTGAAGTTCCGGCTACTCGGAAGGCTGAGGTGGAAGGATCGCCGGAGCCCAGCAGGTTGAGGCTGCGGTGGCCGGGAGCGGCCACTGCACTCCAGTCTGGGCGACAGAGTGAGACTCCAACTCAAAAAAAAAAAAAAAAAAAAGACTGTGGGAACATAAAGATTCATTTCTCCCAAGGGGTTATTTAGACAGTGAGATGTCTTTTCAGAAAGCTCCTTTGTTGATGAGTTGGCAACTTTCCTTCTAAATGGAATCTCTTTCTTCTGTTCGTCATTGGGGGTTTCAGGATAGCTCTGACAAGATGTGGATTCTGCGGAAAATAGCATTCATAACCTTCAAGAGGTCAGTCAACAGTCATGAATTCAACAATTCTTTGACCAGTCACATATTCAAGGACACATTGGTGATACTGGGAACACAGTAGGGAAAGGGAACATGAGTGAGATTTCATAATGCCCCCAAGTCTTCATCTACGCTGTAGGGGAGAGAAAGCCTGCTTGTCCTCTCTCTGGACATATCCCAGAGCATGTTAGAAGCCAGAAGAGAGAGCTACAGAGTTAGTGTTATGGTCGTTCAGGCGAGTGTGGAGGAATAGGAGATAAGCTTGTCTTTGATGCCTACAAAGTTTTAGACAAACAGAGAATTTCTGCTCAACTATTTGCCATTTGTTGGGGGAGACAGAAGAGTTTAGGAGCTAAAAATATAAGGTGGGATTCAAATTCCAGAAGTGCTTCTAAAAGCCATAGAAGTTTGGGCAAGTTATTTATCATCTCTTTAACTTGATTTGCTCTTCACTATAGTAAAAATGTTCTTGTGAGGATGAAATGAGGTATGACATACAATATACAGGAACATGTAAGTCATCATTATCATTAGTGTTTATATGGCAGATTTTCAGAATTCAGCGCCCCTAGTGTTGAGATACAATGTTTATAAAATGTCATACCATCAGTGTGTTGGGCGGAAGCTCATGGCCCCTCTGTTCTCCTCCCTTCCCCAGGAATGCCTCGCCGTGGCATTTCTCTTTATTTTCTCTTGCCAAGAGGAAAAAATTAACTGATAATCTTATTTCAACCATTAGTTTCCTTTATATAATATTGAACATATGTTTTTTCTTCCAAATGTTGGGCCACAGGGAACAAAAAGATCAATTTGTCTTCTCTTTCAAATCTATCTCTAGCAGCCTTCATATAAAATGGTAAATTCTGTTTCATAATCCAATGTGAAACTCTCTAGTATATTTTACAAATGAATTCCACACTGCCATAAAATTGTCTCAGCCTTGTACCAAATTCTCACTTAATAATTTTTCCCAAATTATGAGAATGATACTACCGACTCCTTGACCTTCAATATGAATGAACAGTGATCATTTTATAAGGTGTAGAAGGATACTGTGAGGCATGTATCCATACGCCATTGTATATGTTACTAATTTTTCAGGAACAATGTTATATTCTTTTAGAAATCTTTTGATTTTCACCTTTTTTAAATAAAATGCTTACAATTGAAAAAATAATGAAGAATAATGCATGGTTGGTGAAAAATATAGGAAAGCAGAAGAAAAGTAAATCATCTTTTATCCTACAACCCAGAGACAACCACTTTTACCATTTTTTTCTTTATTACTAACATTTTTTGTACATTTGTTTTTTTAATTGTCAGCATCTCATATAAAATAGTAGTTTTTAAAATGTGTTATTATTATTATTGTTATTATTTGAGACAGGATCTTGCTCTATTGCTCAAGCTGGAATGCAGTGGTACCATCATGGCTCACTGTAGCCTTGAACTCCTGGGATCAAGTAATCCTCCCACCTCAGCCTCCTCAGTTTCTAAGACTGCAGGCATGTACCATCACACCCACCAATTTTCTTAACTTTTTTGTAGAGATGGGGTCTCACTATGTTGCCCAGGCTGGCCTTGAACTCCTGGCCTCGAGCAATCCTCCAACTTTGTCCTCTCAACGTTTTGGAATTACAAGTGCAAAACACCTGTCCTTAAAATGTATTCCTGAAACCTAAACATATCTCCATGTTATTAAAATTCTTTCTAAACCCCCATTTTAACAACTGTAACATATTTTAGCCAGTGTGGTTATATCATGGTTTTGCTTTTTAGAAATGAAGCTCGTTTCTAAATGTCCACTTATCAAAACATCTTCAGTGAGCATCTTGAAGCCCTTTTTGACAGGGCCTGGCTGTGCTGTGGTTGTAGAACCTGCTTTCTGTCTCACATGTGTGCCGTTGCTCTCTGCGCCAGGCTCTGGTGGCCCTCTGCCTAGAAAGCTGTGCCCACCTCGTCCCCTAGTTCCCCGGGCTCTTAGCATCACTAGCTCCCTTTTCTCCCCTACCATGGCGTTCACAGAAGGCAAGTCATTCTTGGCCTCTTGGGACTAGGTTCCATGTCTAAGAACTACATCACTGTGTATCTGTATCTAGATCTAGGTCTGTCTCTCTTCATGCACACACGCATTGACACATACATAAGTTTCCTTTCACTTGTTCATATTTCTGGCTATATTAGAGCCAAGTAACCTTGAAGATTATGTCTTTTGGCTCCATGGCTGTGTCTTTAGCACCAAGTATGGTCTCTAACACATCGTTAGCCATAAATGCATTTGTGTCTGCACTGTCAGCCATGGATAAGAGTGTGTTTTATTTTATTTTATTTTATTCTGTTTTATTTTAGTTGTAGAGTACAAGTCAGAATTTCATGCTAAGTGGTTTAACTACAGGTGAGGTTTTGGGCCTCCCATTGGACCTCACTCCGCCTGGATTAGGAGCAGGCACCCTTATTTGATGTTATGTGCCCCCCACCCAGTAGTGTCCCACTACTGCCAGTCCCCTTCTTGTGGTATTATGATAGGTGTTCAGGGTCTACTTATGAGTGAGAAAATGTGGTACTGAATTCTTCATTTCTGTGATAGATAACTAAGTATGGTACACTCCAAATCCATCCAAGTTGTTGCGAAGTCCATAATTTTGTCCTTCTTTATGGCTGCATAATATTCCATCGGGTATGTGTACCACATTTTTTATCCAGTCCAGTTGCAATGGGCAGCACAGTTGATTCCATGTTTTTGCTATTGTGAATAATGTTGCAATAAACATGTGTGCACAGGTATCTTTTTTGTAGAGTGATTTGAGTTGCCCCAGGTATATTCCCAGAAGGGAGATTGCTGGGTCATATGGAAGATTGATTTTTAGCTCTTTTAGAAATAGCCACACTGTTTTCCATAGAGGCCAAATTAGTTTATACTCTCACCAACAGGGTAGAAGTACTCCCTTTTCTCTGTATCCTCACCAGCAACTGTTGTTTTTTGTTTTATTAATGATGGCCATTCTTACTAGAGATTGGTGGTAGTTCAATGTGGTTTTGATTTGCATTTCTCTGATGATTAATGAGACTGAGCATTTTTTCATGTGTCTATTGGCTGCCTGTATATGTTGTTTTGAGAAGTGTCTATTCATGTCTTTTGCCCAGTTTTTTAATGGGGCTGTTTGCTTTTCTTTTCGGTACATTTAAGTTCTTTGTGGATCCCGGATGTTAGATCTTTGTTATATATACATTTGGCAAATATTTTTTCCCCATTCTGTGGGTTGTCTCCCCACTCTCTTGATGGTTTCTTTTGCTTTGCAGATTTTCAGTTTGATGAGGTCCCAGTGGTCTGTGTTATCTCCTATGTCATGGGCATCTAGAGTTTTGATCAGGAATTGGTTGCCTATTCTGATTTCTATAATGGTGTCTCCCACATTTTCTAAGATAGTTTGAGGTTTTACATTTAGGTGTTTGATCCACTTGGAGTTGATTTTTGTGTGTGGTGATAGGTTAGGAGTCCTGTTTCATTCTTCTGCATGTGTTCAGCCAGTTTTCCCAGCACCATTTACTGAATAGGTTCTCTTCTCCCCAGTGGTTGTTGGTGGAGGCTTTGTCAAAGATGAATTGATTGGGAAACTAAGGTTTTGCTTCTGGAATCTCTATACTGTTCCATTGGTCTATACACCTGTTCTTGTACCAATACCAGACTGTTTTGATTATTGTAGCCTTATAGTAAAGTTTAAAATCTAGAAGTGACATTTCCCACTTTGTTTCTATGAATTTCTGTATTGTTGCTTCCAGGTCTGAGAAGAATGATGATGGTAATTTAATGGGTATTGCATTGGATCTGCTATATTGCCTTGGGTATGATGGACATCTTCCAGTCCATGAGCATGGAATATTTTTCCATTTGCTTGTGTCTTCTTTGATTTCTTTGAGCACTGTTTTGTAGTTTTCATCATAAAGGTCTTTCACTTCTCTGGTTAAAGATGTCAAGGTATTTCTGTGAATGGGATTGTACTTTTTTTTGGTTTTCTGCCTGTTTGTTATTGGTATATAAGAATGCAACTGTCTTTTGCATGTTAATTTTGTACCAGGAGACTTTGTCAAAGTCTTCTATCAGTGCAGAGAGGTTTTTGATGGATTCCCTTGGGGTTTCCAGATATAGGATCAGATTATTCACACAAAGGGATAGCTTAATTCCCACTTTTCCTATTGGAATCCTCCTGATATCCTTGT